ACCTCTCAAGTCCCAAAGCTTATATTTACTTACTTATTCCACATTTTCACTAGAATGTTCAATATGCAACTCCAACTTAATACATCCAAAACTGAATACCCTCGATACATCTCTAACAATCCCTGCTTCCACCTGCTTCACCCAGTCGGTCCCATTTCAGAAATGGCAACTCCTTTATTCTAACTGTTGAGGCCCCAGACCTACAACAGTCATCTTTGACATCTTTCTCCTACATTCTACTTAATATCTGACTTTTTCATAAGAAGTTAGAAATTTGGGTTTCATGTGAAATTCCCTAACTTTTAAGCATTGACAACTCAGGAAAAAAAAAGCCCTACGTAAGAGAGACAAAATGTATCTGTGGGACAAACAGTCTGCAGCTCAGCAGTTTGAGAGCTGTAAGGAGGGCACGTCTTACATGCAACCCCATGAGCTCTCTCCCCTATAGATGGCACTTCTCACCCAGACTCCTGCCCGTGGGGTATCACTCCCTGTGCCCACTTTGCCTATTGTCAGAGCAGCCTCTAAAGGCTGGGCTGAGTCTGATGTGGAAGGTCTTCCCTTGGAGACAAGGACCAGGACAGGACAGCAGAATAGGCAGCAGGAAGAGCTGAAGACAGATCATGTGAGAGCAACAAAAACCTAAAGATTAAGTTAGAACAACCAGATAGCCATGCTGAGAAATGGAATATTCGGGGCTCAACAAGCATCACTAATGCCCAGAAAGGAGAAAAAGGCCATCCATGCAATCACCACGTGATTCTTCTCCAGCAATTAAACCATGATTAACGGTGCCATGTGACCCACCGGGAATTGCAGACATAAGCAGTTGCTAGGGCAATTAGACGACAGCTCCCATGTTCATTTTTGCAGGCCCCAGCAAGCAGAATGTGTGGCACCTTCTACATGTTCCAGGCCTGCTAACTGAGCAAGTGAGTGGACCAACAAATGGCTGAAGAAATAAGCAAGATCCAAAAAGCAACACCTCAGGATTTTAGGTACAGAGGTAGGTGTGAAGAGAAATGAACACAGAAGACTATGGCTTCAATGGCAACAGCCATGAGGAGAAATGGGAGTCAAGGGCATCTCAGGGCTCATAAACCCAATCGAATCAGAAATACGAGAGAACAAGAGAATTGAGTACACTGATGGTTCAACTTCATTTTTGGAAAATATTGATTTTAAAGAGGCCTCATAAAATCTTAGTGAACAAGCCACATTCCTGAAAAAGAAACAATGGCTATCGATGTCCTCAGGAAGGTTAAAGCAGTTAACAATGGAAAGAAATCTTTTAGGTTTCTAGACCTAATTTCTGAGACTTGGCTAGGCCAGGTCACACCTCAGATCACATCTAAATTCAAGTAAAAGAGTAAGGTAGAATGTTTATTTGGAAGTTACTTGGTAAATCAAGGATTATAGATAATCTATTTGACCAGCTAATTTGTATGGCAGTTTAAAGCAATTTCAGAGGACTCTTTATCTTTGCTGCAGGCCCATTTTTATATAGCACATATGACATACACAGCTTTTAGCCAGTAGATACAACAGAACACTAAAATGGAACTAAATGACTAACTTTAAGAAGACTAGTAAGATTCTGTCTAGTGCTATACACAATCCAAATTCTATGCTACACAGATAAAATAAATAGGCCCACCAAATAGAGAAAATGAAAAAGAAACTAATATTAACCAAAAGCCTATTTCTCAAACATTATGCTAGGCACTTTCAGAAATATTATTTCACTAAGAAATGCCTTTATGAACTTGTTTCTCAATGCATACATTACAAATTAACTTAAACATTACTAAACCAAGAAATTTTGTTCTCAAATTATGCTGTGTTAAAGAGGGTCTTCTATTACAGAAAATAGTACTAATTTTTTTTGGAAGTGATGTTTGAATAGTCATTTGAGTCACTTTACTCCACCCAAATGGCAGGTAAAGCATTAGATATGCTACTTTCATAGCTCAAATTCATTTAAGTTCATGTCATACTAGGCTACCCTCTAGCAGAACCTTCACATATAGCAAGGCTACACTGTTCTCAGATATCCAGAGCTCTAAGACTCTGGGGATTCTAAATACTGCTGTGGTGATCTCATGGTACATAGTTGCTTAGAGTTAGTAAGACAAGTCTCCACTCCTTCCTCCAGGAAGCCCATGTTGCTCTAAACCACTCCATGCTTTGTCATTCTACCTGCCATCACCCTTGCTGTCATAAAGGAAGGCCACCAAGTCAGAGCCACTAGGTCCTGGAGGCCACCAAGGTCATTCTGAGCCTAGCAATGGGGTTTTGAATTTACGCTGAGCTCTGAGAGGCCCACAGTGTTCTTTGTAGAATATCTATAATGGCCTGAATATTCAGGATAGTCTATTTTAACTTAAAAAGATTTGGACCACAATTTTGTTAATTTGAACCAAAAAAATAAATGTATCTATCTGACTTTTTAGCTCTTCTTAATTGTAAGAAAAAAATGTTTCTAGAGATGATCTCTCCAAGCACACACACAAATAATAACAAAAACCTACCAAAAGCATTTTCTGGCAAACGGAAGGGAAATGAATTCTCTCATGTGGTTTCAACATTCCTACAGAGGCAACAATGGGGTGACAGAGACATCACTCTGAGCAGTCTTATCACAGAAACGCAGAGCTGACACCCCAAAGGGTGAGCTGCACAGACGCAGCATTAACTCCGGTCAGGCTACGGGCCAACTGACTTCTGGCTAATGGATGGAGTTGCTCCCAATTTCTCCAGTGCGTCATATACCCTACGACTATGCCAATAAGCTAAGGAGATGTCCAAAATTAGCACTCATTTTTTGAGCCAGGAAGACGGAACCATCCCGATCATTTTGGTAATTTAAATCTCAAACTGTTTTTCTGAGAAATTCATCAAGATATTTTAAAAAACTGGGTTCCTGAAAGAGAGGCCAAGGTTCTAGCAAACCAGTATATCTTCTCCCTAAAAACTTTACTCTGCTCCACCTGCTTCTTGTTTGTCTTTGTCAAAAGAAAATAAACGCAAGCAGTATCTGTGCGAACCAGGCTGTCACTGGAAGGTACAGTGTGCTCAATTTTAGTAGTAAGGTGAAAATCAGATGGACTCCAAATGAACCACAGGGGATATAGCTGCTAGGCCCTGGAGGCCACACGACATGAAAAACACAAGTGGTGAACTGCTAGGATGGCCCTGTTTGAGAAGCGAGACCAACTGGGAGGATGTCAGATTCATGTGTCCCCAACATATTCACCCCAGGACATGTACTCACTGTGTAGAACTGAGTGGAACTGCTCAGACTATTAATGATTCTTTCTCCTTTGTACTCTCATCTTTTTGCTTGCTCAGCTAAATCTAGTCAAATTAGGCAAATGCCCTATTATACAGAAATTCAGTTCTATAGGGTCAGCTATCATGGTTTATAGTTCAAACTTGCATGGTTTTGAGGCAGTAAGGATTAAAAAGAATCAGACCCACATCTCCAAGCAACACAGGTTTATATTTTATAAGGCCAAGGACTAGGAGGAAATAATGTAGCTTCTATTCTATCCCTTGACAGTGGCTCCTGTTCTGTTTGCTTTGCTGAAGCCACAAGTGGTATATTTGAGAGCTTCCCTGTTTTGTGCTAGAAAGGAAAGAGAATCAAGAGGCTATAATATGTTGTAGACATATGCCAAAGTAGTTAGAGAGGAAAGAACACAAGATACTTATAATCCTTATCTGGGGGATGTAACAGACACGGCCCAGAAAAAAAGAGAAAACATTTCTGCCACAAAAATCCAGACATGCTCATTACTGTGTTGTAAGACTTACAGAGAGGACTTTGGATAATGAAATATGAGGAATGAAAGGGGCTTTGTTTTCTGCTCACTCAGGAATGCCCACGTGGGACAGACACTGGAAAGCCAAGCCCGGCTCAATGAAGAGCTTTGCTGCTCACGGCTGTGTCTCAGGATCAACCTGACAGCTTGGCCTCTGCTCAGGAAACCTGAATCATCATCTTGGTTCAACACAAATGAGCCAGAGGATGAAGGAAAGGGCCCGGGCACTCACAGTGAGACAGCATAGCAAGCAACTTGGCCGTATTTGTTGATGAATTAGAACAGCACCAGAGGCTGTGCAAAACAAGCATGTTGCCAAAACAACCGCCATCCACTGAGCACTTTATTGTATTGTATAAACTCCATACTCATGACAACCCCTTGAGGTAGCTATCCTTTGCCTCCTCGTTTTGCAAGTGGGAAACTGAGGCACAGAGCCTAAGCCATACGGCAGGTGAAAAGCAGAGTGAGGCCGTGTGCCTCACCTTTCTGGCTTCAGAGATTACTCTTATGCTATTTATTCCACCTTTCAAACAGAAAGGACCAGTAACTTAATGTTTACTGAGTGCTAAGGGTAGGCCAGGTAACCACTTCACATGACTACCTCTTTTAATGTTCACGATAATTTTTTGAGATACTGAGGTAGAGAAGTCCCAACTTCTACTGAACTACAAGTTCAGTAACTAGTAACCATCCAGGAAGTGGCTAGTTCAGGATATGAATGGAGGGAGTCCAGCTCCACAGCCCCCGCTCGTGACCACACCACCACACTGCTGTTAGCATCTTGCTTAACTACCACCACCACATGGAGGGTGTTCTTAACATCCTCATTTACAGGTCAGGAAACTGAAAGTCAGTCTCGAGCCTGAGGCAGATGTTGGGTCTGTACCTAGTCTATGTTCATGACCATGATGTAGAGAGGTTCTGTCAGAGGTCCAGGCACCCCCGGAACTGATGGGACCCTTTTACCATAAGGCAGCCAAGTGCCCTCAAGGTTACTCTAAGCATAAATTGATGGACTGCACCAAGGCCTCTCCCAATCACAGCCATGTTTCTCGCAAGACAGACTTCCCTCAATTTTCCTAACTGTTACTACCCTCAGAATAACAATGAACCCCCAACTTAACCCCCGCCCCTGCCCTCACCATCCCCAACAACAGGTAAACCATTACTTACGCTTTAAATGCTGGGAGGTAGGAGTATATAGAAATGCTGCTTAGGTTATAAATAAATGGCAGGTGTTTTCTGATATCTGTTGTTGCCCAGCTGCTAAAAAACATGTTCAGTAAACCCTGGTCCCCACCTGAAAACAAAACAAAACAAAACAACGAATTAAAGTCATAGACTTCCAGTACTTTTATAGGAATATATACCTAGACCTTATACCAAGGATTATGTGGTTAAAATACGAAACACAAACAAGAACTGTTGCTCATCAGATTTTAAATTCTACAAGGACAGAGATTATGTCTCCTTTTGCTTAGCCCTGTAAATTGTAGCAGAATGCCTTACACACAGGGAAACGACTTGTGAAATGAATGTGAGAACTTTGAAGATGTTCTGTGACAGCACAAAAATGGAAAGACCTTAAATATTGCACCAGACAAATGGTTAGCACATTGTGATATTAACCACTCATGTCAATATTATTTGGCCATTAAAACCAATGGCTCTAAAGACTGTCGTCTACCATGAAATATAAAGATATCCTTCGACATACATAGTGATTATAACTGAGAAAATAAACATCCATGTTGGAAGAAAAATAAGAATAATCATGTAGGAGGATGCTATTACAGATGTTTCCTCCACCTGACTTTTCCTTAATATTGTTACATTTTTATAATTTTAAAATAATAATACAGTTAGGGGCAAGAATTAAGAGCCTTTCTTTCTAAACATTCTGTGCTTGTTAATTTTGTTATAAATTATGATATTATCAAAAATGAATATATGTAGGTTATAAAGCAAAGCTTATTAAAAAGAAAATTCTATACACACGACATCCAATTTAAGAACCAAAACATTACCAATGTTATTTAAGTTCTCTGTGTGGGGCTCTCCAATCCAATTTCACTGTCCCCTACCCCAGAAATAACCACTAATTATGAATTTTGTTTGCAATTATCTTGATTTCCTTTAATGTAACCTGACAACATATGCAGTTTTGCTGTTTGTAAACTTTGTAAAATTAGGTATTATTTTTTCTACCTCTTGTTTTCTTATGCCACATTATAAGACCTTTGTTAAAATAAGCAATTTCACTTAAACTATTTTCTACATGTAGCACAGTGAAGAAAGCCCTCTAATTCCATGGAGGTCAGAACAGCAGTTGTAAAACAGAAATTCCCAAACCCATGAGGTAAGCCTGGGAAACAGCAGTCAGAGCTCGTGGCTGGTGGCCTCTGGCCACCAATGTCCAGTTCTAATTACCCTCAGGGAGCCCACAAACAGCCGTGTGTCACATCAGGGCTGAGAGCACTAGTGAAACAGGATCCAAGGAAGAAGGAGAAAAGGCCAGGCAGGAGACTTGTGAATCAATGGTGCCCCTTAAGCACTTAAAACAGACCTTACACTTCCAGAAGGTATCCTACAAATAATGAAACTCCCAAGGCCACTGACCTCACGAAGTGACCAAGGGTCACCTTTTAGCCAAAAATTGTAAGTTAAAAATAGAAGTAAACACCACCTAGAAGTCTGTGACTTCCTAAGTAATGTTTAAATTTAGCACTCTAACCATCTTTTTCCAAATGCACAATTTTACATCTCGGAGCCAGGCAAATGTTTCAGTTCCATCAGAACAACCTGGGTGGTATTTTCAATATCCTCTCTTTAGAAGTCCCCAAATTGGAGCACAGTTCAAAGCGGAGTGCATATCTGACGTCTTAGACTGCTGAACCTTCACTACAAAATACCCACGACTTCCATCCAGTACACTAGTCAAACTTCCAGAGGCAACTTTATCTATTCTGACAGGTTAGGACATTTCTAATTTTGATCATCTCAGAACTGACAAATGTAATTAGCAGGAATGAAGCAGCTGTGATCCAGAGGGCCAGGATGTGGTGACGCAGGTGAGAGAGAGAACAAGGACATGCAATAAGGGACACGTGGCACTCATTTTGCAAACAAAAGCAAGTATGAGAGTCTGTATCATCCTTCCCCCCAGGTTGCTCAAGTGCTAGTAATACCTGAAACCACTTGGTATTTTCCAAGTCTTTTGACCCAGGCATGAACCTGGTATCCATTGACGTATTACAGCATTTGTCAAAAACTGGGCCTATTATTTTATAAGACAGAAACGACCTGAAGCACTGCCTTTTAAATTTGTGCACCCGTTCAGTACTTGAGTAGTTTGTGTGCTCTTCCACAGATTGTTGTCGGCTGGCTTGCCTACTGTGGACAGCAGGGAGGGCGGGCCAATTCTGGCTTAAACATGCACCCATGTTTCAGCCATAGGAATGCTTCTCTGAGAATCATGCTACTCAAAGTTCGATGCAGGTTGCAGCACCATGAGAGCTTAGGAGAAATTCAAAATATTAAGCTCCACCTACCTAGACCTAGGGAAGCAGGATCCACATTTAAATCTCCAGGTGGTTTGCTGGCATATTAAAATTGGAAAAGCAATCATCTAGAGTCTTTTAGAGTGACTCCTTTTTTACTTTATGTCAGGGAATGTAACTCTCAGAAATGTCATTTCAATAGAAGATGTCTGACTTATATAAATTAGGTACAGACATTATAGATAAGATGATGAATAAGATACATTTCAGCTCTCAGACAGTTCTGAATCTAATAAGGAGGTAGAGGGGCAGCTATGAAGCAAAATAATGTACATATGCTTACTACTATAACAGAGACACACCCAAGTGCTAAGAAGAAAATGGGACTCATTCCTTAACACTGACTTCCCACAACACACTTGGCGGGGAGCGTCATCCCTGCCTATAGCAAGCATGCCAAGGATGACTAAGTTACAGTCTATAAATGGCCCCATTCTTGGGGCTATTTCTATGAGGTTTACTAAGCATTATCAGATTAACCCAAGGTTAATCCAGAAAACCCAGGCACTCGCCCTCAGCATCATTGCATCTCACTGGTCTGTACCCATTTAAGCCAAGAACAATGGATTTACTTTCCTTTTTACTTCTAGCTTTTTTTCCACCTTAAAAAACCCTTAATAATCAAGCTATTAATCACATAAATTCAAGAAAACATTTATTCTTGGCTTATTTTTCACTTTCTCAGTCTAAGGCACATCTTCCTAGTCTAGATTCATTTGGCACTCTGAACTTATCAGAATCATAATTACATAATTAATTGCTTAATTAGTTGTGTCTGTAAGATCTCATAGACTATAAGCTTTAAAGTCTGCATTTTTTGCCAATCTATTCCTGGCCCTTAAAAATAAGCATATTGCTCAGATTAGAAGCTAAAATAATTTTTGAAACACTGAATAAATGAACTACAGAAATGTAGGCAAGAGTAATATTTCCAATAATACTTCCAGACCCATAAAACAATGAAAGACTATCAACTGTGCTACTGAGGTAAAAAGACAAAGTATTTCTAGATACTGTAGCTCAGAGGGATTTTAATTTATTGTGGCTGTAGAGACAGAAGATTTAAGCCTCAGATTCTTCATTTGCAAAATGTGGAATATGTCGGCTGCTCTCTCAGAAGTAAATTTTAAGTGGTTAATCTTTAAAAAGGCCAGTGCAAGAGCAATTTTCCTCCATTCTGTGTAAATCACAGGGTATATTTTTGTGAATATTGCAGTATGGGATAATTGGGAGAAAAGGAAAAAAACTACACATACAACCCAGCCATAGAGTTGAGAAAGTCTCTGGTTCTACCACCAGCTCTGGGGCATGGGGCAGTCTGCTGTCCTAAACTCTAAGGAGGGCAGGTTCCCAGGACTGGATGCATAGCAGGCCCTCAATAAGTATCTGCTGAAGGGATACATGAATGACTGAGTGAATGAATGACTACCCCATAGGCCTATTGAAAAATAAGTCAAAAAGTAAAATGATGAACATAAGAGCCCGTATACATGTAACACTTCAGTTCCTTCCTCCTTCTCTATTTCTCACTGGGTTCACAATCTCTGGTTAGAAGACATCGTGAAGAAGGCAAGAGAGAGAGAGAGATGGCAAAAAACACTCATGGGTCCAACGACATAAAAATAGCTCTTACAAAAAAAACTCATGTGTGCTCATTTATTTTGCCATTATGTTATAACTTTTGCTTTTCATCTTTACTTATTCAAGATACTTACTAGCCAAACTATCAATTAAATGACATAAATTCAAGAGACCAGAGAATTTTCAAATCAACTGATGAACTACCCTAAGGGCCACAGGCAGCTTAGTGTTAGGGCAGCTGGGACAAGCTGACCGCAGACAACTATTCAAGGTGGAATCTATCAAGTCAGGAAAGCAAGTGAGGTGGACCTATTTGATTTGGACAAGTACCATCTGGAAATACCTCTTCACTTCATTCCTTTTTTGGGCAGGTCCAGCCTGAAGCCTAACTAACGACAAAGATTAGGGAAAGTGGCACTGGGATCACTTTCAACTTAATAGAACTTAAGTACCAAACCTTTTGTTAAAAATCATTTAAAAAACTTAGTATACTCTCCTGGTTTACTACATCTCCAAGCACAGAAAAAAGATATGACAGTTTAAGAGTCTCAGTGACCACTTAGAATTAGACTGTGAAACACGCAGGTGTAAGGACCTCACAGCAGAGCTTGGATTCTGGTAAAACTTATCTAATATTCTCTCACCAATTTATTGTCTCCTATACTTCTTGAAAATGCAACCATAGATGAAAATTGTATTACTATAATAAAAAGTTCAGGGTATTTAGGTTATGGTAATTCAAATGAGTTCCAAGACCTTTTTTTTTAAACATCAAACTAGTAAATATGAATTGCTTTTATTAGGTTTTTGAAACTACTAACACATGCAGATGAAATTTAACAAACAGTAACTTTCAAATACTAAACTATTGTCTTTAACTGTATGAGGACCCTTAATTTAGATACTGGGTTGGCCAAAAAGTCTGTTTAAGACAAATTTTTCATTTTCACCAATAACTTTATTGATTTGGATATTCTGAGTATGTCAGCCATCTCCTGCTATTGGCTTCTAGTGGGTTGAGGCCAGGGTTGCCGCTAAACATCTTTCAGTGCATAAGCCAGCCCCACTGCACCTTCTCCATACACTGCACAAATCTTCTTTTGCACTTTAGTTGTATTTTTACATTTCATGAAATAATAAAGCATAATATACCCAAAATACTGTGTATTTTCTTCCACCTTCAATATTTAAAATGGCTGCACAAAAACTCACCAATTTTGATAGGTTTTTTTTTAAGTGCATGCTCAAATGATAGCTGTCACAATCCAATCTAACAAAATTGTTTCAACTAAGCACTACTGGAGTCATTGCACGGAAAAAACTAAATGAACTTTTTGGCCAACCCAATGCTTTAGAGTCACAGGGGAGAAGAAAATAAACCTCAACTTGCATTCACATTGGTTTCTCCAAATTAAGCACCAGTGCATCAGTTTCACTGCACCCGAGTATGCAGAGACAGAATTTCTGATTAGTATCTATGATATCACGACCTCTCCTCCTTTCATTGCTATCAAGTCCGGAAGTTAACATTATCCTGTCACATTTTATGAAATGTCAGTTTATATCTATTTCACAACAGCTGTTGTTCAACTTTCAGGAAGCACGTAACTTCAGTTATGATGTAAATGCCAAGACAGTTTGCAAATACAAACAACAGTATAGGAACTTAAACACTTCACTATGGGAAATTAGATGCCAGCCAGCCACGAATCAGGTATGTAGTCACTAGCTTCAAATTCTAATACTCTATACAACTTGGAAGAAAGAAGAAAAGGTACCTAGCATGATTTTCCATATTGGGCTTATTCTCTTGGCCAGAGGTGATGGTATCAGGGAGGGGGGTGTGACTGAGGACCAGTGATTAGAAGTATGACAGCCACATTCTTTCCTATTGGAGGAGCTGGGAAAGCAGCTGCAAATACTCCACCATCGGCAGCCTGTGTGGCTTGTCAATGGATACCAGGCCCCATCAGTTTTTGTTGAATGTATGCAAGAAATTAAGCAGAACTCCAAGATATTCAGACTGAGATATAGTCACCTGCAAACCAGTTTTCTTTAACACTAGCCTAAAAATGCTGGGACTTAAGCCCTCATTCAATAAAACTGAGGGATGGGTGGACAGCTACCTGTGGATATTAGAACATGCATGGTAGAATGAAAGGAAATATCTGAAAATGTTAGTCTCAACTATGGCATAACACCTAAACAAAACTGGGCACTGTATGAAAAACCTGAGGCATCTACACCCATTAAAAAGGATGTAGCTCACAAAGAAATATTTTATTAATATTAAGCATGAGCCCAGTATGTCTTTGTGTCACATGGATATAGATTCTGTAAGATAGTACAGTAGTCTCCTTTATCTGCAGAGGATACATTCCAAGACCTCCAGTGGGTGTCTGAAACTATGAAGAGTACCAAACCCTAAGTACACTGTGTTTTTTCCCCCTATACATACATACATACATACATACATACATACATACATATGTACACACATACACATACTTCATGGCTTTTCTTTGGCATATCTGCATTGCTAGCATCATTACTCTTGTGCTTTGGGGTCATTTTTAAGTAAAGTAAGGTTACTAAAACACAAGCACAGTGATGCTGAGACAGTCGATCTAATAACCAAGATAACTACCAAGTGACTATGAGGTGGGTAGTATATAAAATGTGGAGATGCTGGACAAAGGAATGACTCAGGACAGAGCAGGACAGCATGAGATTTCATAATGCTACTCCGAATCATGTACAATTTACAACTTATAAATGAATTTTCCATGTTTACTATTTTCAGACCACGGCTGACCACAGGTAGCTGAAACCACAGAGGCAAAGCCCTTGATAATGGGGGACTACTGTAAACCCCTCCTGGGAAGAGCAGACTCCCACAATATGGAGTAAACGTTCTTTGATGAGTAAAGCTTAAGGCATCAATTGAAATCAACCTTTCATTTAAGAGCTCCTATTTTATTCTTCTGTTGAATTTAAAGACATATTGAGAATAATTATAAGTTCCCAACTGCAGAGTTAAATTTTCAATTCTGTCAATTAAGTGGTTCTGTTAACAGAAAATTCAACCTTTTACTATCAAAGAACTAGTATATAGAACACCTTACAGCAAGGCCGGCTTCTGGAAACCCTGCTGTTAAATAATGAAGTATGCTAACAGGCACAGAGAAAAATCTCTCAGTGGGCTGAGATTCTGGCTGCAAAAGCAGAAAGTGCTTTCTTGTTGAACTTTTACGCATCCCTGCTTCTTAACAAATTCATCAACTCCTCTAGTACCTCTTTATTTTAGAATGAGGTAGATAACCCAGGTTGGTCTCTGTAAGTTTTACTATTTTTATATTCTAAAACTGTAATCATGACACATTACTGTTTGGCATCTGTTTATCTCTCAACAATGAAATCTAACACTCATCTAGATCAGAAACTGAACTCTTTATGCTCTTACAATCATGTGGATTTTAGGCCACTGGGTCTACTTTAGAATGTGACTTGCTTACTGAAACTGAAAATTTACACTAATTTCTGGCAGGATTACACTACTTCCTTCCAATTCAATGAGAGGTGAAGAAAGCTACACTCTTACAGCAAGGGTAAGATAAACAGTGGACTTCTGCTAAAAATACTCTTACTTTCCTTTTATGCAAAGTAACTGTTTTAGTATAAGCAGTAGAAATAAGAAATGCATGTTTTGAATTCAAATGCTAATACTGCTTTCATTCCTTATATGAAAGGAAAATAGGAACTAAAAAATAAGTCAGTGAAGTGAAAAAGTTACATTTGGCCCTGACTACATTGAATACTCAGCATTATTTCCTACTTAAGACTGATTAATGGCAGACACTGACATTTATTATGGTCCAGATATTTCTGCTGTTTTGGAGCATGTAATGTCCTGGCAGAGCAGTTTATCAACCTTAGGATTACTGACATTTTCGGCCAGATAATTCTTCGCTCTGTGGGCTGCCCAGCGTGTTACGGAATATGCAGCAGCATCCTTAATCTCTACTCACTAGATTCCATTAGCATCTGCCCCCAGTTATGACGAACAAAATGTCTCTAGATGTTGCCAAACATTCTCTGGGGGGCCAAATCACCCCAAGTTGAGAATTACTGGCACAGAATATAAAGAAGCCAAATAGTGAAACAAGATTAAGACTTAAACTTCTTTGGTCTTTTCAATAACAGTTCAAATAGGTGCATACTCCAAATCCTCAAATGACTGAAACAAATTCAATTTTGGTGTATAGCAACGACAAAAACCCAATTTCAGTGTTAAGTATAACTTAAGATGTTTTAACTTCCAATCTTTTAACTTCAAACAAACTTTCAGATTTAATCTTTTAATTAAGTTTAAATTTCGGATTTTGATTTTTAAATTTATACCAAGCTTATGGAAATGAATCCTCCTATCAGCGTCCAGCCTGAGTCTTATGTCCACTGAGGAAGCCTGTTTCTGTTAGTTTCAAATGATCCGTTCACTGAAAACCTCACGTCCGCCCTTGGAGGGGGAGAGAAGGAAGCCCCTGAAGCCTCGTGTGCTGCTGAGTTCAGTGCTCTACCCCGGCCCCACGTTCCTGGCTTGGGCTTTTGCCACCATGTCAAGTACCTGGCGGTGACTCACGGTGGAGAGGGCTTCTTCTTAGAGCATGTCCTTCTTTCTAGATACACTGGGTCTTTCCTTTATTCACAGGGTTCATCAACATTAACTTTTAAAAAGCTACTTTTGCATTTTAACTGCTACTTCGTCTTGTTGTATATGCTTTTGCTGTTAAAAAAAAGCTTACTATTTATTATTTCAGACACTGTCCTAAAATGAAAGCGTACTTATCAATTCATTTGATCAAAATTCTCTCAAGGAGGGGAGGTCCTAAACACAAGTAGTCAGAACTGTTCTATATATACATATTGTTACAGATACACTGATACGTTATGGAAAACGGATGCTGACTTTGCCAAGGATCTACTCTTCAGCCTTAAGCCCTGCAGAGAATAAGGAGACAAAGACTATTCACATAAACTTTCTACCTTCTTTCTTAATGTTTTCCAAGAGAACAGAGCCAAATTATTATGTTTACCCCTCCAAGTTCCGTGGACACAATGCTTGCTCCTGTTAGGTCTTACAACTAAGTTTACTCAGATTTAAAGACAGTTGTTAAAGTTTTTTTAATTTGTGTCATGATCTTTTGAATTCTTGAATAATCATAATTCATCTGCCATACTCTCATTTAGACGCAGGAAAGCCAATTGAAGAAGCCTGTAAACTGGCTGTCCTAGGTTAGGTTACTTATTTACCTATGGAAAAAAGATGCGTGCGCACACACAAAAACACAAAAGTATTTCCAAAAGTGCACAATGTAACATGCTTGCTACATCCCATGTAATGCTGTATTCCAGGCACAAGGAACCATCGCAACTATATCCCCAAGAAGAGCAGCCCCCACAAGTTACTAACAGCTTCACAGATATAAACATAATAGATACATACCATCAAAACTACCTTGCTCAGAAGCCATGTGCAACAGCTGATTGTATGTTGCCACCGAAGGCTGATAAACAAAGACTCCGGAATTGAAGCAGTCAGGCCACCCTGGGTCTGGTGCTGCTGACAATTCTTCTCTCTCAAAGAGATCATCAATATTTGCTAGGACCTGATTCAAAAGGGGAGAGGGAAAGCATTACGGAAATGTTCTGCTGCAGTACACCGTTATTAAGCTCTCCCCAAGTTACCCAACACAGAAGATGCAATCTGCGGTTGGTCCGAACGATTCAGAGGACAGCTGTAAAGCAGCCAGGGCCTGCTCTCCTTCATCACCTGACACCTTTTTAAAATCTGGACTTTACTGTAATGTCTTGACAGCATTCCCCAAATGCCTAATTCATCTCCATTACTATATACAACTTTTATTTTATTTTTGAAAATGTTTTATTGATATTGTGCTATTACAGTTGTTCCATTTCCCCCCCTTATTCCCCTGCGCCTTGTTCCCCCCTCCCACCCACATCCCGCCCACCTGGCCCCTAGTTTGGGTCCATGGGTCACACATATAAGTTCTTTGGCCTCTGTATTTCCTAAACTATTCTTAACCTCCCCCTGTCTATTTTGTACCTACTAATTATGCTTCTTATTCCCTGTACCTTTTCCTCCATTCTCCACCCTGCCCCTTCCTACTGATAACACTCCATGTGATTCCATTTCTGTGATTCTATTTCTGTTCTACTTGCTTAGTTTGTTTTTTTTATATACATGTGTGTATGTATGTATACACACACATCTTTTTAGCCATCAGTGCCACACTCACCAGGGTATCTGCATCCATGAACACACATTTTGAATACTGTGTAAGTGACCAGCAGTGGAGTTTAGTTAACGTAACTCCCAACTCAGGCCTCTTCATTAAGGTTAGATGAGCGGAATCACCACTGTCCAAAACGTCTACCATGATGACTTCATCAAAGACTGTCTCTAAAACTTTTCTAGCAAAAGAAAATTCAAAAACAGAGCTTAGCATCTTTCTAGAACAAGTGGCATCTAACATAAGATTGCATTCTTATTAGCCTATCCATGCATTAGTAGAGCAATCTGTTACTTTGGCATAGTACAATCTTTTAAATACATCCTAATTTACCTCAGGACAATTTATGTTAATTTGCATGTACAGTTAACTTCACTAAAATAATAAGAACTGCTTATGGTGAGCATGAAGCACTTGTCTTAAGACTTTACTACAGAAGTTTTCTATTCTTTACTGTACTACGGATTACCAGGCAAATTGTGGAAATAGCCTGTAAAAGTGTGACTCACATGTGGTAAGAGTACGTCTTTGCAACAGCCTATGTACTTAACTATGGTATCTTATTAGAACTGATTCTTTCTGACTACCACATATTTCTACAAATCATGCTCAGTAAATTACACATAATGTCTGCAATGAAGCCTCTAACTAATCATTTTTTGCTGAAGAAGTCGACAGAGAACTGCTTGAATATGTGTGTTCCAAAAGAAGTGGAAGGACTGTTATTTAGTTGTCATCTTTTTAGAATAGAATATAGCCAGCATTTACTATGCGTTTAGCACCCCTGGCATAACGAGACTCACTTCAGTTTCTGAAGCACAACTCTTCTCTATGCCCCAAATTAACTAAAGATTTATTTTAGAAAGCAACCTTGAGGTAGGTTAAGGGGGGGTATACTTAAGTAAGACACTAAACTCAGCACAAGTTATAACATATAAGGACAGATCATCATTGAAAGTTTATACTGTCAAATACGCAGAACAAAACTAGTGTTATCTGTATCCAGAGCACATCTGTCTTCTCACATACATCCTCACCAAACAGACTACAAATTACGACATACACATTACGAGGTAAAGTTTTTGGCATTTCTAAAATTACCCTTTAGAAACAAGGTTGTTTGTGTACATGTATGCACATAGGTCGACAAAGGTAGATATTCTCTTTTTCAGAGGTCCTTGGCATGTGCATACATATTTTCAAAAAAGTCACAAAAAGACATTTTTAATTTCTAAGAGGGACAGAAGACTGCAAAAATAAACACAATACAGACTACTAGTGTGCCTAGATATTTTGAATATTGTTAGTATTATGAACTATGTACTTCATTCAGATACTTCAAAATTTAATTCCAACAAATCAAAGTGATCTAACCCAATCAACAAGCAGCTTGTACCCCTCAGAGCACAACCCCCAATTCAGAAAGTCCGTTGGCAAATATACTGACCTATTCATTTGTAAATAACGATATTTAGGTTACAAATGTCAACTACAAGTGGAGAAAACTGCTATTTTCTTTCAAAGTCACCTGAGGTTTCCCTGGTTTGAGGCAGGAAACCAAGTAGCCCTTGCTGCATTTTGGGAAAGGAGTGCATGTAACGTGTGACTACATAAAGGGAACGTCTAGAAGGAAACCTTGTTAAGGGCGCGTCCTTCTCCTCTTTAGAATCAGTGAGAGCATGGGGTAGACTACCACATCATGGATCAAGCTCTGGAAGGGAGTTCGGGTAGAACAGCTCCCAAAAGCTAGACAGAGGTTTCAGGCTCTGAAATTCTTTACCCAGGAACTCTCATCTTTCTCCCAGATGCTCAAGCCCTGAAAAAGGTAGGGCCTCAGTGCCCACTGATGCCAGAAATGGGAGAGGGATGTCAGAGCACCACCACAGACCGGCAGCGAAGTCCTTACCTCATGGAGTCTGAGACCTGTGGGGTAGTGAGCACCACCAGCCTCCTGGTGGTCTTGTGCTGTTTCAGAGATGAGCCTAGGACCAGGGCTCCTTTCGCGTAGGAATCATTTGTGGTCAGTGTCACAAAGGCCTGATCTTAATACAAAGGAAAAAAAAAAGCACACTCTCATTACAATGTCCACCCTCGAAAAAGCTACTCTAGATCACTTTGCAACCAATAATTTTTCAAAAATCAGTTCCTCTCCTAATGTGTTCTAATTTAAAATCCAGACAAGCTAAATTCTTAGACTAGTTTAACACTCAGAGGGTGAACCTGAGGCAGTTAAAAGGTAGTAGTGAAGAGATGGAGAAGTGCAATTTCTGTTTCTCCTACAAAGTACCACGGACAATACTTTTCAACCAAGCGCAAACCCAACAAATAACCCCAATCGAGAGTGTCTGAAAGCAGAGGCCATATTCTTCATTTGGGTGCTTATATGTTGGCCAGGCCTTGGGCTTTTTATACTGTTTCCTCAACTTGGAGCAAAGGCCACCTCACCGCCCCTCAAGGGTCACTTTCAGTGTCTCTGCTCAAATGTAACCTCCTCAGAGAGTACTTTTCTACTAAATGTTTCTATATAAAGAGTGGCCAATTGCTGTTAAACGGACTTAGGAATCACTTCACAAGGTCTAACACACGTGCCTTATTTTCCTTGGAGAAACAAGGACATACTCTCTACACTGGACCTCGGCCCCTCCTCTCAACATATTCCTCTCATTCTTTCTCTCTTACACAGACACGCACGCACGAAATTGTTTCCTATAATCTTGTAACAGCCAGGATCAAAGACAAAAGAATTATTCTTCCTACTAAACAAACCCCATCCACCAAGACAAGCAGCCCAGCCGCTGGGATTTCCCCGGGTCTTCCCTGGGAGGATTCGGGACATATTCTGCTTCTGAGGGGATTTTAACATTAGCAGTTCGGTGGGCATTCAAGTGTACAGGACACCTGGGATCGAGCTCTGGCGGGGGTCACTCAAGGGCACTGTTGCCCACACAGGGAGTTGGGACATTTTGTCACAAAGTCATTCTCTGTCTTAGGTTTCCTAATTCTCCCTTTGCCCATTTTCCAACGTGGAGGCAGGTGGCCGTGGAAATTACGTTGAGAAGTGAGAGGGAAGTGCAGGTGGTCAGCTGTGCCCGCAACCCGCCCCCCACCCCCGACCGAGGGCCATCTTCACACGTAGTGGCCGCCTCTCTCCCAGGCAATCCCACTAGTAAGTTGTAGAAAGACTGGTGTTCTCCGCCCCCTGAGCGCCACCGGCTTCCCAGCCAGTCCCCCTCCGGGAAAGCTCGCAACGGGGACACCTGTGTCTAGACTGGCCCATCACCCTCTGTACTTGTTCCTTGAACACCTGAAAAGACAACATTTCAGTCTGCTCCAAAGGTATCTGATGTGCAGCATAATGAATCATGATGCTTCACTCAGAAAGGGTCCAGATTCCAGGGGATCAGAAAGAAAAGTTTAATAGGGGAGTCAAGGATTTCAGGAAGCAAGGGTATAGATGATTTCCAAGTCGAAGCACAGGACAGAACAAATGCTTTGGACCCCGGGCTGCCACACCAGACCCACCTAATAATCATGACAAGGACTAGGAAAGACGGCAGACACTCGAATAGAACTTCCACCACCCCACAGACAGGCCACACTGCAGTCTTTCTGCAGCTCCATTGCTCTAAGTAATATTACCCACTATCAGCCTCCACACCATGGGAAGGACCAGTTACCTCGGAGCCTCCGTCCTGGGCAGATCCGCCTAGCGGCCCGGACACCTGGCAACAAGTGGGCCGGCGCCCTCTCACCGCCCGGCTCCGGCTCCCCGAAACCGGCCCCAAAGGCCTAAAAATAGTCTCGGCGTGACCGCAGCGCCGGGCCGGCAACGGAGGAGCTGGACCGCCCCTCGGAGTTCCACCCGCGGGTGGCGGGGGGCTCCTCGAAGCCAGCGCAGCCCCAGCTCAGGACGGGAGCCTCCGGCACCAGCTCCCCACCCCCACTCGGCCCCGCGCAGCTACTGCACCCGCCCGGCCTCCGCGGTGAGAGCAGGAGGAAGGGCAAGGAGACGGAAAAGGGAACTGGGCCCCGGCGGAGGCCGAGGCCCAGGCTCCGTGTGCTGCGCACCACTGCGCCCCCGGGGCTGCGGGGCGGCGGAGGGGCGGCTGACGCAGGAACGCCACGCCCGGCTGCGATCAGCCTACAACTTTGTGGCGGTCGGTCCTCGGGACGGAACTCCCCGAGGCGGAGGAGTCGGTGGCGGTGGGGCTGCGAGGAGTCGTGCGGGGCGCAGAGCCGGGCCCGCAGGGCGGAGGGCGGCGCGTACCTGCCATGGTGCTGCCGGGCGGTGGCCGCCGCAGCCGCAGGGTGTTGGCTGGGAGAAGCCGGGCGCCGGGAGGGAGCGCGGCCGGCTAGTGGGCACGGCGGGAGCCGAGCGTCTGGCCCGAGCGCTCTTATAGCGTCCGTCACGTGGCCGCGCACGCTCCCCGCGCCCGCTGACTGCAGCCCCACACACCCACCGCGGGGGGCGGTGGCCCTGCGGCAGTGGGACCCGGACTCCTTCCGGGCCCCGGGGTGCCCCTTTGGCTGGGTTCCAGGTCCGGGTCTCCGCACCTTGGGTCTTGCTCCTGTGGCACACTTGTTTGGCACCGCGCGCCCTCAGTTCCCCCGGGAGCTGGGAATCTGGATGTGAACTTTGGGACGGTGGGTGGCTTCTGCAGGACAAACTCCCAAAGATACCAAGGGCTAGGGAACCTTCGGAAACAGACAAACGAATAAACAAAAATCCCAGATCACTCTCGTTATGATAATTCAACTGAACTGCTTGAACGGAACATAGAGTTTAATTCCATTTTTTTTTCACGTAGAATTCCAAATTAGCCCCTGGAAGCATTCCTTACTATTCTTACAATGGTTTTGTGGATTTGACAGAAAAATAGAATGAATTTGGAACACTTTATTTAGATTCTTGAGACCCTCTGCATCAATTAGATATTTAAATGTTTCATGCAACCTTCATAAAAACTTCAAGTATAGAGATTGGTATTATATCCATATTTTTACAAATGAAAAAACTGAGGCCCAGAAAAGTTAAATCTACTTATCTGTGGTCAGAGATCTCAGGTAAGTGGTGAAGGTAGAATTTAAACCTTGGCAGTTTGACTTACAAAACTGACTTTCCCACTGGCAAAGCCATCACATCTCTGGTGCACTGGTGTCCTAAAAAGGTTAGTAAATTATGGTAACTGTGGTTGGGTAACGCACTTGTTTAGGTTAAACTGTTTCATAAATCATGGAAGGGTGAATCTGTCATTTTTTTAGGAAGTTGAGAAATAGCTCTCTAATGTGGTCGCACCCTTCCCTCCCCATCCTTTCCATCAGGAAAGCAGCAGTAGTACACTTCTCTGCAAACAATACTTGCTTAGTACATGCAAAATGGATCCCAAAGAAGAAGTTGACAACATCAGTTACAAACATGAAGTAGATGCTTAAGAATAAGTGATTTATTTACAAAGGTGATATTGCTTATCTCAAACCAATTATATGACTATTTCCTCAAGCATAGGCCTGGGGCTCAGAATTGCTTGGGGGCACTTCCTAAAATGCAAATAATTTGGTCCCAAGCTCGGACCTCTTGAATTTTGGGCAGAACCCAAGTATCCACATTTTAAATATCACCCCCCAGAAGACCCTCTTGATCCTTCCTTCCCTTTTCCAGTAGCCCCACCATAACATGAAAACCACTGATTTACTTGGCAAGACCTCCTGGTTACTTGCATTATAAATCACCTTTGCAGGAAATGGGACCGTGGGGGCAAAAATTAAATGAAAGGGTTTCCACTTATTCAACCCCGTAAGTTTAGGACAATTGGAGTGCTTTAAGGAATATAAGGGCTATACTTGAATGGTACCTACGTGGGGAAAGGGGAACCTGAGAGTGGTCCCTCCAGGCCTGAATTGCTCCTTTCTATACCTATAGGTGGACCTGGAAGAGGAAGGTTTCCATTTTTTAACCCAGGAACCCTCCTGCCATCAATGACCTGTACCCACCTGCTGCTCAAAGCCTAAGTGTTGGACTTCCACAGGGTGTGGTGCAGGAACCAAAAGGGCAATACTAAGAGGTGGAGAAAACTGGAACAAAGTCCTCTCTTTTCCACCCCAGGGTGTTTAAGCAAAATCCTTAAAACAGCCTTCTTTCCAGTGTTACATGCGTATTTACAGAAACAGAAAGTTTGTAGTTTTACAACATTTGGAGGTTGCTACAATTTACTCTTCCATGTTTTCTTCCCCCCCAGGAGAATTGAGTGTGCCTATAATACTGTTAACTCAGTAGGCTGACTACGAAATAGGTTGGACTATCATAAATAAGTACATATTGAAATGTCGCCCCAAATTAAAGTGCAGTGATTCTGTTACATGCTTAATAATTGAACACAAGACTGGCCATTATTTTCCAAAAAATCAGGTCGGAGAACATGAATTAATTGTAGGTACTGATTCATGAACAGTGGTCTTATTAGAGCACATAAATAAGCAATTGCTTAGGTATAATATTTGTTCTATTTTTATATTATTTTGTAATATCTTTATCTTTCGTGAACCCATAACCAGGCAAAAAAATCTCATGGATGTCTGGGAACTAGAAAAAGATGAAAATTTGCAACCTTTGTCTTTCTAACACAAAGTAATTTCAAATAACTTTAAAGCATATTGTTCAGAAGTCTATACCAGGAGGAAGTAATTGTAACTACAGGCTGTCTAGTAATATATTCCTACCAGGATACCTGCGTTGTTGGCATGTGAGCTGTTTTACAACCAGACATTTTATTGTTTTCACTAGGATTTTTGTTGTTGTTTATGTTGCTAAACTCTATGTTCACTTGGATTTTAAATAAAATTTACCAATATCAGCAGTTGGGCAGGTATATCTATCAAGTAAATGCAAAAGAGAACCAGTGTACTAATGAAAATATATTACAAAAGATTCATATTAAAACTGAATTGTTTGGGTTTCAGAAATAGAAATAAAGACGTCCTACTCTAAATTAGGAAAATTGTCTTGATTTCATAGTCCCAAGTAATAATTATTCATTATGTACAAGTAGCCAAAATCCAAATATTCTTCCATATTTTATTCACCTTTATTTCATATTCTTTGCCTGAGTGAATCACACACCACCCATCCAGTTGCTTTATTGACATACCTAGGAATCACGTGTCTTAATCGACATCACCAATAGTGGCCCACTGCCCAGTTTTCCTGAGCTGCTCTACACTGAGCTTCCATTGGGTATGAGAACAAGGCCTCTGAAAATTTAATGAGCAAACAGACTGCCTAGGGATCTTGATACAATGCAGATTTTGGTGGTGAATCTCTCAGGTGATGCCCAGGTGGTGGACCAACTTTGAAGAGTGAAGTGTTTGAAGGCTTTGAAGGTAACATATTATAGTCAGATGAATATCTGAGACTTCCGTTTGTTAATTTTTTTTCCCTGTGAAATTTGAACTACCTGAATTTCTGAATCCCAAAAGGAAGATCTATGTCAAAAAGAAAAAGCTGTATTCTGCGTGAGTATGCATAACCATTAACCTTTTAAACCTGTGCTAAATGTGTAGATTCAGCATGGTTGGTCCAAAATGCATTTTAAATTGGCTTTGGAATGCGTTACATAATTTTTTGGCATGATACTTACCTCCCTAATTATGTTTTGTTTAAGATAATGCTGAAACCAGTTTGCCTTCCCTTGAGCGCACACACTAATTGATTGTGGGAGCAACTGACCTGGAAATATATTCCAGAGCAGAGGGCAACCTGCTGGTCAAAGACACAAACAGTTCCCATGGATAGTTCATGAAACAGATATACCACATCTGGTCAGCCACAGGAACTAACTAGTTAAATAATGACTTAAAATTTTATCCTTTATTTATAACACAAAATCTGTACCCATATTTGTTCCCAGTGAATACAACCCTGTCCAATTCTAATCAGAAGCTTAGTTTCAAGAAATACTATCTTTGGAGGCTTAAAGTAGTTCACTCTTCAGTTGAGAGCTGGAGTCCCAAAACTTCACAACTTGCAGGGGCCTGGTGACTAGTTACATTGCCTTAATAATTGTTTATTAAGATATAATTAATATATAAAATTCATCTACCTAAGGTATACAATTAAATAGTCTTTGGTATGTTCACAGAGTTGTGCAAGTATCATCACAATCTAAATTTAACATTTTCATCACTCCAAAGGAAACCTACACCCATTAGCAGTCACTCTTCATTCTCTCCTTTCCCTCAGCTCTCAGCAACTACTAATATTTCTGTCTCTAGAGATTTGTCTGTGGAAATTTGCCTATATATGGTCTTTTGTGATTGCCTTTTTTCACTTAACCTAATGTTTTCATACCCCTTCATGTTGTGGCCTGTATCAGTATTTCATTTTATTGTCAAGTAACATTTCACTACAGTATACAGATATACCACATTTTGGTTATTCATTTCATGGATAAACATGTTAATGGACATTTGGGTAGTTTCTACTTTTTAGCTTTCATGAATAATAGTGCAATGAACATTTGTGTTGAAGTTTTGCATGGATATTTACTTTTTTCCCTTCTGATGTATACCGAGAGTGGAATTGCTAAGTCATTGGTTGCCCCATGTTTGACATTTAAAGAACTGTCAGATTGGTTTTCAAAGTGTCCATCATTTTGCATTCCCACTATTATGAGGGTTCCAGTTTCTTTAACCTTTTAGCCAATATTTGCTGTCTTTTTTTTTTACAATAGCCATCCTAAAGAGTTTGGAGTGATATTTTATTTTGGTTTTGATTTGCATTTCCTTAATGATTAGTGATGTTGGACACCTTTTCATGTGCTTATTTACAGCCATTTGAATATCTTCTTCGGAGAAATGTCTACTCCAAGCCTTTACTCATTTTTTAAAAATTGGGTTGGTTTTTATTAATGGGTTGTAAGAGTTCTTTATATATTCTGGATATAAATCCCTCTTATCAGATATATATGACATGCTTATACGTGTGATTTGCAAATATATCCTCTCATTCTGTGGGTTGACGTTTTCCTTTCTTGATAGTTTTTTTTAGCACCAACATTTAAAATTTTTACATTGTCCAATTTATTTGTTTTTCTTCTGTTGCTCATGCTTTTGGTGTCAGATCTAAGACACCATTGCCTAAACCATGGTCTTGCAGATTTCCTCTTATGTTTTATTCTAAGAATTTTATAGTTTTAGATCTTAAATTTAAATCTACAATCCATTTTGAGTTGAGTTTTGTGTATGGTGGGAAGTAGAGCTCCAGCTTCCTGCTTTGGCATGTGAATATTGAGTTGTCCTGACACCATTTGTTCAAATTGTTTGCCCACTGAATTGTTTTGGCACCTTTGCTGAAAAT